AAACAGTATTCTCATCAATCAATAGACTTTACCCAGAGATGAGGAGAGATCAGCACAGTATTCTCATCAATCAATAGACTTTACCCAGAGATGAGGAGAGATTAGGAGGAATTTACCTTTGAAATAGGATAAGCATTAGGATCCAAAGAAAGGTTAAGAGTGAACAGAGTCTAGGTTACTTTGAGAAATATTCTACAAAAGATCCTGGGTGGCACTCATGTGCACACACATAGCCATACATATGCCAATAAACTTTTTAAAAATTACACATAAGAAATACCAAGAATATCCCCGAATATTCATTCTGGCCTTATCAGGTACTAGGTCACAGTAACTCTCACAAACTATGAGGTACACACTATTTGGTACACACTACAAGTTATGTAACTCAACCAAAGTAATATGGGCAATAAAGATGGAAACTAGAATTCCAAGCATGGTCACCTATAAGATTCTTCCCCTTGGCAGTTTACTTCCTGTTCTGCATTCCAAAGGGCTACAGAATATCAACTGAAGACAGGATTGGGAAATGTCACTACCAATCATATTAACATGCTAATTCTCACTAACCAGCAATATGAAGGAGAGCACACTGAGTCTCAAGCAACAGGGACAAAAAGTGCTGAGGAACTGAATCCTACAGATACAAAGGAGAGAACAAGAAGCTAGAATTTGTAGACATAGATGCAACATTGTAAATCTGGGAAGAGATGAAGGAAGACACTTCTTAGGCTACTGGCTTGGCCACTAGTTAGTAATTACTGTCAATCCACTGGTGGAGAACAAAAAGAGGAACTGGTGATTTAGTTTCATTTAAAGGGTAGGAAGATGTATTATATACTTAATGAGAAATACCAATTTTATACAGCTCACTTCACCAGGTAAGCTTTCCACATTAGAAAAGCTTTAGATATGAAAAAAAAAAAAAAGATCCCTCCATTCTTCCTAAATACACTCTTATTTACACACTAGGCACTGAGTGGCAACACTCTGTACAATTAGGCCTAGAAACCAGCTCTAGTCTAGGTCTAATACATCAACGAAATGAATCACAAGACTGCAGACAAAACAAAACTCTAAGACCTGTACCTTGCAGACTTGTAAGACCTTACTAAATAATAAACAGCTGTGCTTTACCTCTATATTTTCAATGTATCAATAATGCCCTAAAATTCATTCCACATGCTGCTCCTAATTCTCCACCCTCCCAACTCTACCAAAGATGAATTGACATGAACCGAATATTTTTTGTAACCACTTAGTATTCTTTCACAGAAATTAAATGTGCAAGCTTAAACATTAAAAATTGACAAAATTGACTGCATATATCGTTCTTGAAATTCCTATTTCTCATTGCACAAACTTTCCTATGGTAGCTTGACAGCTTGTACTCAGTTCGCTGCAACACATTTTTATGTTTTAGACCCTAAGTAGATCCTTTCCCGAAAATCCTATTTTACACTTAGGACTGAAGAAATGACATTTCTCTGCTTATTTTTCCACCAGAGAAAATCAAGGTGACACTGATCCAGACCCATCCTGTGAATTCATGCAAACGAAAATAAGCTTTCCCATGTTGCTGTCAAAGTCATCTCCACATAAGTATCCCTAGAGGAGATTAGGCTGAACTTACTCCTTCAGTTGCAGATACCATCAGCTTACTCTCAGTAGACCACACTCTGTTCTGCAGCTCAGAAGAGGAAGGTTGAGAAAGGCGCCTCCCACGTCTACCTCCAGCATCCCTGTAGGCTACTGGGGAGACTGAGCCAAATAATGTTTCTAAAGACCTCCCGATCCATTTGTCTAAATTGCTTGGGACAAAATCTGCGCCCAGAAGATTCTATCAAGTGACACAGAACGGAGAGCTCTTGAGATATTAAAATTACTTACGTTTCCTGTCCCATGTCTGGTGGCTTTTGAATCAATACCAAACTCTCCCAGAGCTTCGTCTATGGAAGTTACTAGGAGAGCTAGCTTTTCAATGAACCTGGGTTCTCCTCGACTAGGGAAGTTACTAGGAGAGCTAGCTTTTCAATGAACCTGGGTTCTCCTCGAAAAGGCCGAAATTCCTGAGCCCCCGCCCGAGCCCAAGCAAAACTTACCCAGCTGCCGCTGGCGGCCTGAGCGCCTCCGCGCTTCTCAGGCATGGCTGAAGTCTTGGGTGAGGCCACCGCCTTCCACCCCGGCTCCTCCGGAGACTCCCCGTCCGTGCTCATGCCGCTGTCATGTCCGAGCAGGTTGGGGTCGCTCCAAGACAATGGTGACGCCGCAACGGCGGCGGCTGCGGCGGCGCCCGCGTCTTCATGGGCTCCGCAGTCTGCGGCGGCCTGACACTCAGGCGGCGGCGCCAGTGGCCACGCCGAGCCTGCAGCCGTGCAGGAAGCGAACAGGACCCGTAACTATGCGATCGTGGTCCGTGAACACAGATCCCCGACACCGGCAGCTCCGGATCAGTCTGGGGACTGCGACCGCCCAAAGCACTAAGCTAAGGCGGCTCCCGCCTAGAACGCCCACCCCTCCCAAGTAGCGCAACCAAGCTCCGCCCCGTCTGCGTAGCGCATCGAAAATACGTCATCTCTTAGGGACTGCAGGCCTGTTGCTTTTCCCGAGACTGAAAAGACCCAAGGCCTCCTGATTTGGCTAGAGTGGACAGTGAACGTGAGAGATCGCCTGTTTCCTTCTATCCAGGACTAGGATTCCAAGTGCACGCCTTCCTTATTATGTGGGTTTTAGGGATCTTGCTTGGGTCCTCAGGCACCTTAGGAAGTGAGTTGTTTCCCTCCAGCATGAAATGATAATCGATAATAATTATAAAACTGCGCAACCGGATACACAAACCCTGGATCTCGAATCCTGAAATGGGAAAGTGATATGCAAAAGGAGGATTTCAAAAGCCTCCAACCTTGTGCTGATTAAGAGAAAATTCCACAGTGTATATTGCTCAGTGGTAGAGCATTTGCAGGTTCTCTAGGCTCTGGGTTCAATCATCAATAAACACACACACATATACAGAGAGAGAGAGAGAGAGAGAGAGAGAGAGAGCAATTAAACAAACCAAAAACCCTAGATATTCCCCAGAGAGAGAGAGAGAGAGAGAGCAATTAAACAAACAAAAAACCCTAGATATTCCCCATATACAGGCCAGGCAGTTCTTAAATATATGATGATGACCCTGCCTCATTCTCCCCATTTGCTGGGTGTAGGTTTCAGCCACCACACAGGACATTGTTCTCAACTCTTAAATATAACTGGAGATGATATGTTAAAGAACTCAGGCACATTTTTTGTAAATTATATTATTGTGTGGGCACATGACAGTTTTTTAAATTATATTTTAAATCTCACGGATGTGAGGAGAAAGACCACCCACCCAAATTGTGGCCACATTAAATCGAGATGTATTTGGGCACAAATCAGAGCCAAATCAGCAGCTGTCTCTCCCTAAGATGGGGTTCAGGATACCAGCCCTAAGCCACACTGATTAATATCTTCCAGAATGTGTAGGACATGGTATGGAAAGCAATGATTACATTTATTATTATGATTATGATTACTACTACTACTACTACTACTACTACTATTATGGGTTTTTGAGACAGGGTTTCTCTGTGTAGCTTTGAAGCCTTCCTGGCCTTGCTCTGGAGACGAGGCAGGGGTGGGACCGGGCCGGGGGCGCGAGCCCTGCCGCGGTGAAGGCTTGGGAGGCTCCGGCAGCTTCGGGGCAGGGGGCTCAGGGGCATTTCGAGCTGGTTTTTCAGAGATGATATGTTATAGAAGTCAGGCACGTGTTTTGTAAATTAAATTATTGTATTGCACATGACAGTTTTTTTAATTATATTCTAAATCTCACAGATGTGAGGAGAAAGACCACCCACCCAAATTGTGGCCACATTAAATCGAGGTGTATTTGGGCACAAATCAGAGCCAAATCAGCAGCTGACTCTCCCTCAGATCCAGCTCAGGATACCAGCCCTCA